GCTACGCTACGATTTCCTCTTCTGCTAATAACTTTTCGCATAGGGTTTATCTCCTATCGCTCGAAGACCTCCAAAATAACTACCTTTGGCTGATCAATAATCGATCGGTGCACGGGATTACGACGGAACGAAGACTCGTGTAATGTAAAAGTTTACTTAGGCTTTGTGCTTTTCGATACTGCTAGGCAAAACAGCTACGAAGTCATAGTCAAAGTTCCACAGGGCGTTCTTCGTGTGTGCATCGTTAGCCGGTCGTCCTAGTCATTGTGCAGTCGTGCAAGAAAGAATTCCTCCCACATAGATTGCCAAGTCCTGAGTCTTTGTCAATAACTGTGTGTAGTGTACCGCCCGTTGGAAAAACTGTCAGCCCTGTGAGACGGAATAAATCACTAAACTGGAATGGTCACATGTGTACTTCTTAGCGTTAAAATTATGGCGATGGAGACGTTTTTATTGGCTTAATTCAGCTATCCGACCCAATATATATTTGTCCGCCTGTGCTCCTTGCTTGGTGTTTGCTCTGTGTTTGACTCCAGCTGGACAGTTGCTACAGTGCGTTCCGAGACCCTGCGAAACCTTAACTGTCTTGAGTTGCCTATTGCAACCCCCCAATAGCGGTGTCATATCCCACGTGCCTCTCTCACCCATACAAGCATCCTTTTGGCCAATTTCTTTTCCGATTTTGTTTGCGACAGTTTTTTGTTCTACTTGCAATAACTGATCTGCTGAGTTTGAACCTTCCTTACCTGCATTTTGCCCCTTTGCCTCTTTACTCATCACCTGGGCGGCGGCTGTCTATCTGGAGAATGCTCGGTGTAGTCTTCCAGCTTACATATATACATATACAACCCAATTTTATCCTGTCGCCATAATTATCTTCGTTCTCATCACCACGTCAACCGCAGTCACCCTCCAGTTTCCATTTCAACTGCTGACATCTTTCTCTTCTATTTTTTTCTCTTCCACCTGTTCGCGCGCGCATCCACTTCAGGAGGAACGGTGGCAGCTCGTAAGGAAGTCATTCGCAATAAAATTCGAGCCATCGGGAAAATGGCCCGCGTGTTTACACTCCTAAGGTGAGACTGTCTCCTTTTTGCTCTCTAGTCTATGTTCTGCTCTGTAGCAGTTTCTATTTTTGGTATTCTTGGGGTCGTCTGCCTCTTTTCCGGCCTTCTCCATCGTATGTCGCGGTCGTATAAATGTTTGTAACAATTATACATAAATAACGCGCTTCTCCACAGACGGATAAATCCCGTCCTCGTCTTTTTTATTATCGACGATTCGACGCTCTCGTAACTAGATGGAATGCAATCTACTTCATTTATGGAAACAAACTGGAAAAACTGCAGAAGATGCCCAACTTTTGCCTGCACTGACAGATTTCTTGGTAACCTCAACATTCCTCGGCGATCGGGTTCCTGGTGCGTGCACTTTTTTGCAAGCAGACTCGAGTGTGTGATGGAGGGGAGAGTGCGACACCTGCATCGGAAGTCTACTATCACTACATACCGACTCCTGCGCCCACCCAACTGTGGGGCACTCGGTGGACACCGTCGGAAACGGCAATCGAACTGTCAGAGGAGCCATCAATATTTGGAGGCATCCGTGCTGACATTAATGCGGGCTCGATGCTGGTGAAGTAGACTTGCGCACCGTCGACTCCCTTCTCTGGTCCCACACCCATTGTGTGTCATCCAATCGGTTGTCGACTAGGGTCACTGCGTAGGGCGGCAGCGCTTTGTGTAGCCGCAGAGAGGTGACCTGGGTGTCATGTGGGGTCGGAGTGGAATGATCACCTCGCGCGCAGCCCAGGCCTTTGGCACAAGAGCCAGTCAAGCACAGCGCTTGCGCATCTCTCAGGTGGTTTCACAGCAAATGCGCAAACAGTACAAAGTCTAAAGTTAACCCGAGACCACGTGATGGCACTCAACTTTGCGTTTTTTTGCGGCAGGTCAGTCCTAGGCACGTTCAAGCGTGCCTATTGTAGACCCATTCTTCCCCTGGCTGAAATTGAGTACGATGATTCTGTCAGCAGGTTGATATTATCCGGGACGAATGAATTCCCATATAGGAAATTGAGAGATGAAGAAAACAAGCAGCCCCGAGAAAGCTTGCAGCTGAAGGCTGCGAAAACAAGAATTGCACTGAGAAAAGCTGTTTTCTAGCGCATTCATCCCGTACTAGTTAAGTCAAGCACTCCCTCCCTTGGGTTGACTGTTGCTATCGTTTTCCCGCCCTAAGCACCCGTGTTCTCACTTCCGTCATCTATGCGTGAGAACATAAGCACATCGTTAGCTCCTTGTGGAAAAGCATGTTCAAAAGTGCAAAGGGCCTTCATGTTGGACTAGTAATCTTTATCCTCCTACGCCCCTAATCTGTGCCGTTGTTAGTTTCACGCAATTTGGCACCGGTACTTGCCAGTGAGTCGCACACTAACACCAGGGGATATGAGCTGCAGATACGTGCACCCACACAGATCACAGTATTCCCGAACACCCAAAAACCCAGACGCTAGCAACTGCCTAGGCCATCGCCTCTGTTATTGCCGTGATTGTGATTAGTGGAGTTAGACTCATCAGTTAAGTAAAGAAATAGTAGTTGCCTCGTTATCGAATCCCAGGCCATGCACACTTGGAGCCGGTCATGTTTGGCTGACGACAGCTAACAAACCAGAAACGGCTATACCAACCACCCCTGTCTTCGACGGTGTTCCTTCCTGTACCCTTGTTAGTCACTACACGACTGCCATCGAGGGCTGTAGATTGAGCTCCAAGGCGTAACGGGAGGAGCACATCCCGTAGTCTGATCGGCTAACACAATCCCACCACTGTTTATATCCCTGATCGCATCCGACAGTACAACGGGTCCATTTTTTATGCTAGGACGTTTGCCTTGAATACACTCAGTGACAAGAGAATCCGGCTTTGAATCCCATGCCTTGCAAACCTGGGGCTGGCCAATGACTGGCTGACGGCAACTAATGAGCGAGAAGTGGCCATCACAGTCTTCCATGTTGAAGAAGGAGACACGATCGCCGGGACAAGAGCTTTATGAGCCTGACGTTTCGGATTCCTACTCGAATCCATCATCAGAGACAAAAGAGCAGAAACGGGTGGTTGTTGCACAAGGGGCTGCGGTATTTATAGGATGCAGTAGCCATGCTACCGCATACCTATGAACGTTCACGGCTCCCCTCTTCATCCGGGGTTGTCACACTTGGTGTGATCATTGCTTGATGGCCGACATTCGAATCGATAATTGCTGCAATTTCATCACCTGCGTTGGATGTTGGCGTGATGATTGCTCGACCATCTGACGCGTTGACCCGGGTGTTGGGAAGAGTGTTCACCAGTGCGCTCCCCGCGTGGCCAATTACTCCGCCTAGACGAAGTCTCAGCACGCTGTATTGAATGGGAAGATGGTTGCACTTGTTGATGGACTGGGGGCCAGTAAACCATGATTCCAGTAGCTCCCGGCTCACTCGGTTGTCACCTCTTGCGAGAATTTCGGCCTCATCGAATTTAAATGTTTGGCCGGATCTCGTCGAATGAGCTGCCACTATTCCGTACCTGTGCCATTACTGCTCGCCATGCCATTGTTTGTGAGGGCTCTAGATTTAGCCCCAAGATGCAACGGGAGACGCATGTCTGGTAACCTGTTTGGTGGATACCATTTGGACGATAAAAATAAAACTCTATGCATGAGCCCATAGTCAAGAGGCGTTTGGCAGGGCGGTGTAACGGCATCCAGAACTCCTCCCCTATTGTTTTGTCTGGTATTCCAGCAGGACTGGTTATGATCCATACTGGCTGCCGCCGTCATCTTGCTTTTTTTGTGTCCTTGCAGAGAGGAGAGCGAGAGTATCCTGGAGCTCAAAGGCCTCACGCCAAACGGAATGCTTCCCTTCGGCGCCCTGTCTGGTGGCAAGGAGACTCTTCTCAGCGGTAAGTAGGGGGCTCATGCCAAAATCCTGTGTTCCATTGCCAGTCCCTAATTCGACTGCCGTGAGTGCTGAGATTTACTGCTGCCCCAGTAGTCCTCCGGACTGGTCTGCCAACAGTACCACCCACCTCAAACTCATTGCAGCAATGGGTCATTCAGTTTCTAGTGGGGTCATAATACATCCTACGTCATAATCCAAGCTCTTCCCATAGCAACCAGACGGCAAACACCCTCCTGCCACAGTTAATATTCCCGACAGCAGCCGACAGGACAAAGGGTCAGTGGTAGAGCGTTGGATTTAAGAGCGCTCGATGACCAACTAACGCAGGGATTTGAATTTCAGGTCCCTCCAAACTCGGCGTTGGGTAGGATTGGCTGATGACGTCTAATAAGCCAAAAATGGCCATCCCAGTCTCTCCTGTCTCTGCCGGTCAGCTACAAAAAGGGAGGCTAAGGGTGAAGTTAACAGTTCGAACATGCTGATTTCCTCTGGACAGCTGGTAATGCGTCTTTGCCCATGCACGTCACAGGGGACCTGGTCCTCAGTTCTGCACTAAGTAGGACAAGATTGACTGAGAGCGAAATGTTTCCATCAACCTAATACCTACTCGGTTGGGGCGTTCTATGTTGTTTACCTTTTCAGTGAGGAGTTGCGACGATTCCTTTTGCGGAGGATAAAACAGGTGTTGCCAGCCTACTATAGCCGGTGATTTTATAGTTTTTTTGACCGTGAAGGCTGTTTTCAGACTTGCTCCATGCGCAAGTCGGCGTTCGGAGATCGAATGAGTGAGCTTTCGCATGTTCAACGCTGTTTATTTCTAAACATTCTCAATATGCATTCATCAGCAGACTACTTGTTGTAGTTGTTTTACTATTAGAGTTTTTCGTTCCCGCCTCCTTCATCCCTACATGGAATTGCAGGTGTAAAAGGCGTTTACTAAACAATGTTTGCCCATTCGCATTCATCCACGAGGTGCAAGTGTAACCAGTTGGCTTTATCTCGTCGTTTTCTGTACAATATTTGTAGCGAAATGCGGGATAGAACCAAACCACAAGATTTCCTCATTCGAGGAGGCCAAAGAAATCGATCGAATGAATGAGCGCATGCCGCCTAGACATGATGTTGCCCCGAACGCTGCCGCCGCTCCCCGTTCTTCGGCTTCCTCCAGAGTGTCCACCAACTCGACACTGGCGTCCGCTAACGCTACATCCTCCAAGAGCCATGACCGCTCCCCCAGTGGAGGCCGAAAGGTGCCAAACAGTGCGCCTAGTGGCGGTACTTCCGGTACTGATTCGGCAAACGCTCACAACCGAACACCACTGCCCGTAGTGACGGGAGTTTATGACGCGAACGAGAGACCCCAACAACAACAGCAGCAACAGTCCCGCATGACCGCGAGTGAGAACAGTCGAAATCCCACCGTCGTATTGTCGCGCGGGTCTTCGCACACGCCTCGTGGACGTTCAGGCAGTTCCACCAGCGCCAACTACAGATGACTATGCCGCGCTCTTCCTATCCACCTTCCGACCCAGTGCCTCCCCCTTCCCCTGTGAGTACAAACCGGGGTGGTCGCGATGCCGTCCCCAAACACACACACACACACGTTCACAAAAACTGGACGCTCCCTTGTCCCCACCTCACCAACCCTCCCTTGCCCTCAGAGGGCAAGGGGAGGGCAAAAGACAAAAGAGCGGCCCCAGCACACCGGCAAGGGTCGCGTTGACGTGTACCTACATCCTGACAAACAAACACACAAGTATGCCTTCTAATTGCTCAGTT